GGGCCTGGGCTGGATTCGAACCCACCACCTTAGGTGTATGTAGATGGCGCCTTAGCCGCCTGAGCCACAGGCGCCGAGCCAATAGTGTGTAGCTTTAACATGAAACTAAGACTTTGTCAAATATTGAAACTTGTCTATGTTCCCGGTAGGAATATGTCTATGAAGATGCCAGTGGACACACGGAGGTTATGCCAGTAAGTTCCCTTCTCTTGCTCTACATGGACAAGCTTGCTTCCTGTAAGTCACACACCTGACGAGACCTTCTTTCCCTGTGCAGCTGTGGACCCCACCTACGCCCCCTCAAGACGACAGCGACATCTACATTGACTCAGTCATGTGTCTGACATATGAGGCCAGCCCCATCCCAGAAGCGAAGCTACCACCTGTGTACGTGCGGAGGGAGCGCAAGCGACACAAGACAGACCCCTCAGGTGTGTGTCCCTGCATGTGTCCACGACCCAGGGTGTTGTTGGGCCTGTCAGGGTCCCACCACACTGCCCTTCTATTAATTATAACTGAAAACATCAAGGGTTCCGCACTGGAAACAATGAAGTAAAAGGGCAAGGAATAGGAGATGACCGATGGGCCCCATGGCAGATAGCACAGTTAGATACTGACTAACCATAGACATATTCCTACAGGGAACATAGACAAGTTTCAATATTTGACAACATTTTAGTTTCATGTTAAAGCCACACGCTATTTATCTTCATACTTATTAAGTCTTCCTACTAAGTCTGATCAACACGATTATAAGAGTCACTGCTGGGAATAAGATTTAGGAAAAGTCAATATCTAACTGAAAATCTCCAACAAAGTGTCAGTTATTAAGAAAATTATGCTTTTAAAACATGCTGTCTGCCATGGAGCCCATTGCTCACCTCTTATTCCTTGTCTTTTTTTTTTTTGAGACAGAGCTTGAAGCTGTCGCCCTGGGTAGAGTACCGTGGCATCACAGCTCACAGCAACCTCCAACTCTTGGGCCTAACTGATTTTAACTGATTGTCTTGCCTCAGCCTCCCAAGCAGCTGGGACTACAGGCACCTACCACAATGCCCGGCTATTTTTTTTTTTGTTGTTGTTGTTTGAGACAGAGCCTCAAGCTATCCCCCTGGGTGGAGTGCCATAGCATCACAGCTCACAGCAACCTTCAACTCCTGGGCTCAAGCGAGTCTCCTGCCTCAGCTTCCCAAGTAGCTGGGACCACAGGCACCCACCACAACGCCTGGCTGTTTTTTGGTTGCAGCCATCATTGTTGTTTGGTGGGCCTGGGCTGGATTCTAACCCGCCACCTTAGGTGTATGTGGCTGGCACCTTAGCCACTTGAGCCACAGGCACTGAGCCTTTTTGTTGTTGTTGTTGTTGTTGTTGTAGTTGTCATTGTTATTTGGGAGGCCTAGGCTAGATTCGAACCCTCCAGCTTTGGTGTATGTGGCTGGCACCTTAGCTGCTTGAGGCACCAAGCCTATTCCTTGTCCTTTTATTCTGTTGTTTCCAGTGTGGAACCCTTGATGTTTTAGTTATAATTAATAGTACACTCAAGAAAGTGGTTTTGGCCAGGCCCCGTGGCTCATACCTATAATCTTAGCACTCTGGGAAGCCAAGGCGGGTGGATAGCTTGAGCTCACGAGTTCTAGACCAGCCTGAGCAAAAGTGAGATTCCCCTATCTTTACTAAAAATGGAAAAACTGAGGCAAGAGGATCGCTTGAGCCCCAGTTGGAGGTTGCTGTGAGTTACAACGCCATAGCACTCTACCCAGGGCGATAGCTTGAGACCATGTCTCAAAAAGAAGAAGAAAGAAAGTCATTTTGTCTTTAGCAGATGCTTTCTAATCCCCCTCTGTCCGTGAGTCTTTGCACTTCTTGCTCCTCGAGCTCCTGGCCTGCTGGGGTCCAGGTGTGAGCCCTGTGCCCACCCATGCTCCCTGTGTCTCATCTGCTGCAGTGTGTCTTTTGCTTACTGTTCTCTGAAGATGGCCTCTTTGTCCAGCTACAGGCAGGAAGAAGAAGCAGCGCCATGGGGAGGCAGTTGTGCCCCCGAGGTCCCTTTTTGACCGAGCAGCACCTGGTATGCTGAAGATCCGCCGGGAAGGGAAGGAGCAGAAGAAGAACATTCTGCTGAAGCAGCAGACGCAGTTTGCCAAGCCTCTGCCGACATTTGCCAAACCAACTGCTGAGTCTGGCCAGGACAGCCCTGAGTGGCTCATCAGTGAAGACTGGGCCCTGTTGCAGGTGGGCTATTGTCTGTGGCTGAGCGTTCAAGTGCTTGTGCGCGCAGGTCACCGTAATCGCTGTGGGGCGTCTCTGGCATGTGACCTCACTCCACTTGGAATCTCACTCTCTAGGCCGTGAAGCAGTTATTAGAGCTGCCTTTGAACCTCACCATTGTGTCACCTGCTCATACACCAAACTGGGATCTTGTCAGTGATGTCGTTAACTCCTGTAGCCGTATCTACCGCTCTTCCAAACAGTGCCGGAATCGCTATGAGAATGTGATCATCCCAAGAGAGGAGGGCAAGGTGAGCGCACTTCCATTTGTCTTCCTGGGAAAACACACGTGTGAGTGGCGCCCACTGGCAGCACTAGCTCCTCTGTACCTGGAGCTGAGCTCACTCTCCCTATGCATCTGTGGCTAAGTCAGTCCTGCAGAGCTGTGGAGGGTCCCATGAGGGGTTACTGTTCTGTGCCTGGCACATAACATGAGCAGTGACAGATGTTTACTTTGAACTCACCAGGGTTGTGCTTAATGTTAGTGGCAGGCCTAACACCTGATATTTTATGATACCAACATCTGTATTTTTCATTAGAAAATAGTATGTCCCATGAGTAGTTGGTCATGCACAGATAGCGTCCCTGGTGCAGTGCTTCTCTCCACAGGATATGGAGTGCTGAGGTGTCTTGGGAGCAAGTAGGTGACAGTTGCATGGCTCTTTTTTAACTGTATGATTCACGAAGGAGAGACAGGCAGGTACAGGTGATGCTGGAGCCCCCAGAAGGCATACTTTACACGTCTCTGAATGTATGTCAGCCTCTGTGGGCAGAGAACAGTGGTGACCGTGGGCATTCATGCTGACCCTTATTGTCAGCAGGAATTGGATCCATTGGGTGAAGGTTGTCAGCCTGCTGTATGTGGTACTCTGTTGTGCAGCTTCAGGTGCTTTGTTTACCTGTTTTCTCAATAAAACTGGGGAATTTCTCCCTTTTGGGTACCTCTGAGGCTTACCTGAGAGATGTTCAGCAAGAGTGGTACTGCCATAACGTTACGTTTTGGGAAAAGTGGCTGTGTCCAGCCACGGGGCATCTGGCTTTAGGCTTTGAACGCAGGCAGGTGCCTGTGATGCTGCCTGTCTAGTTGTGATGTGCTCGTGTCAATTTTATTTCAGAGCAAAAATAACCGCCCTCTCCGTACGAGCCAAATCTACGCCCAGGATGAAAACGCCACACATACCCAGCTATACACAAGTCACTTTGACCTGATGAAGATGACTGCGGGGAAGAGGAGCCCCCCAATCAAGCCCCTGTATGTTTTGTTTCCTGTGTTGTCACTTGATGTCAGTTATGAGTAAACTGCGTGAAGCTTGGTTTTTGATATGTGTTTTTAACATTTCCTTCTGCATTATATTTTCCTGTGTTTGGTAATTACTGTCTCATTTTCTGTACTGCAGGCTTGGCATGAATCCCTTTCAGAAAAACCCCAAGCATGCCTCTGTGTTGGCAGAAAGGTATTTCTGTATTTGTGACATAATTCTTACTGTTTGAAATGTGAGTATTCATTTAAATCCAATAGCTAGTGAATTGTGCACATGGCATGTTCCAGGTGTCAGCTGTGGACACTGCAGGCTTGAGTAGGGTGGCCCCTGCTTGTCTATGTGATGGGGGTCATCCCTGCTGGCATTGTGCTGGGGAAGATGTTCAGGATGTAACAAGTGTGTGCCTTCATGCCTGCCCTCCTTGCACACACATTTTATTACTGTCCCTTAAAAATATATCAAGTTTAGGGGTACGTGTATTTGCTTTGAAATTCCACCAAGGAAAAAGCAAAGAGGAATTGACAAGTGGGTAGAGAAGCAGATGTGACAAAGTAAACAGACAGGGATGTGAACTGTGGAGCCTGAGTGCCAAGCACGCGGGATCTGTGGCATTTCTGTGTGTAGGCTATAACACACAGAGAGGAAAGCAGGTGTCACTTCTGGGTCAACACCAACATTACCCAAGTACAGTTTCCTGGCCAAGTGAACTGGCTCATGGCGAATCTCCCGAGACCCCCTGATAGCTTTTTGGGACAAGGCCCTGGCTACTAGCCCATGGCTGTCCCTGAGTATACTGTTGCGCCACCCTAGGCCTCCCTGTCGAGAGCTGCACACCCTTCGCTGCTCTGTTCTCTTTACCACACGATTACCTTCAGGTGGACTGTGTGTGTCATGAGTGTTGTCTGTAAGCTCCCTGGCCGCTTCCAGTGCCCAGAGTCACAGAGCAGGTATTTGACCATACTTGTCAATAGAGCGAAAGGATGGATTTATTCAGCTAATACTTGTAAGCGAGCTGCAGGTTGGCACAGTGCTGGGCATTTTGCAGGCCCAAGATGGGCACAGTCCTGCCCTTTTTCTCTAACATGAGATAAATTTGATTCTTACCAGTTCTTCCAAGTACAGCGAGAACACATGTGACACTGCTACAGGCACACAGAGAAGCTCCAGCAGTAGGGGTATGCTCAGGAAGGGTCTGAGCTCGGTGGAGGGGAAGAGGCCTTAGTGTGGAGCCAAGAGGTGGGAGGTTCCAGGCAGCAGCCATACTTGCGGCAGGGCAGAGGCTGGTGGTATGTGCAGCCTAGGTCCAAGAAAGGGCTAGGAGGTGGGTGAAGTGGCCACCCCTCCTTGTGGTGTGCAGGTTCACTGCAGAGGGAGGACAGGTCAGTAGCACCCACGCCTGGGACATGCCACAGGCTGGGCAGGGGAGAGCATCGAGTATGGGGGCATGTCCATAGGGTTATGGGGTTTGTCCAGGGAGCATGTGGTATGGGGGTGTGGGGGACCACATGAGAAGGCTGGGGAGACTTACTGGGGGCTATTCTCTGTTAGGTAACCAAGGATCTCTGTAGGCGGGGTTTGGGGTGAAACCCAATTAGAGTTAAGTGGGGCTGTGAGAAAAGGTAACCCCAGGAGTGCAGACCTGGGGCTCCTTAACAGAACCCACGTGTCAGGGTTCACTTCAGTTTTTGGGTGTTGGGTTAAGGTAGGAGAGATTTGATCCTATTTAAACTCTAGAGGGTCAGGCCCAGAGGGTAGAGAGAGGGCAGAGCTAAGAGGACAGTGAAGGAGGCCTGGGTTTCTGGAGAGCTGAGGCTCAGCCATGGGCAGGCAGAGGTATCTGCAGAGGGAGCCCTGGTGGCTGGGTTGAGGAGGTTCAGTCCACATGGGGGTGCTATGAGCTTTTGCTGCAGACATTGTGGGCACCTCACATTCAGGCACCACATGGTCTGCAGAGGGTAGGGAGAGAGGTGGTTGATAGCAGAGGCAGCTTTGCTCCTTTCTGAGGGCTCCTTACCTGCAAAGAATACACTAAACTTTTCACCCTCACCTTTGGGGTAGGGGTAGAGCTGTCCCTGGCACTTCGTGCATGGGGTTTCAACAGCATTTCTCCATTTTAGAACATACCTGTTTATTTTTAACTTTTGCTGTTATCTTTCAGTGGCATCAACTATGACAAGCCACTACCTCCCATTCAGGTTGCATCTCTCCGTGCAGAGCGAATTGCAAAAGAAAAAAAGGTGTGATGCCCTGGGCCCTTTGCTTGCTCGGGAAATGTGGTGGCTCTGACTCTGGTGGACCCGGGATGATGTTCATAGGCTGAGGTCCTGCTCCTCCAGCGGCTTCTCTCCTTTCTTGACCCTCCCAGGCCTTGGCTGACCAACAAAAGGCACAGCAGCCAGCCGTGGCACAGCCTCCACCCCAACAGCAGCAGCAGCAGCCCCCGCCCCCTCCACAGCAGCCGCCACCACCACTGCCACAGCCACAGGCAGCCAGCAGCCAGCCAGCAGCGGGGCCACCAGCTGTCCAGCCCCAGCCTCAGTCCCAGCCCCAGCCCCAGCCGCAGGCCCCACCACAGCCAGTGCAGGCCCCAGCCAAGGGGCAGCCTGCAATCACCACCGTGGGCGGCGCCGCAGTGCTGGTGAGGAAGGATCCATCTTCATGTGGCGTTGCCGCCACACCTGCACTTGGTTCAAGTGCTTTTTGTGAAAACAAATATTTGTTGTCAGTTCTAGCACATCCCCGGCCTACAGACCTTCCACTTTGAGGAAGTAGAAAAAATGTTCAGTCTGTCCCTGGAGGAAGTTTGTTTTCACCCAACTCCTGTTATATCTCTTCCAGGGTTTTTGTGGGCTTAGTGATTTCATTGAGTTTGGGAGGTGAATGTAGTTCTTCTTGGTGGAGGTGATTGGGAAGTTTGAGATTACCTGGATTTTGTAAAATGTAACTGTGGGCTTGGAGCCCATAGCATAGTGGTTATGGCGCTAGCCACATACACTGAGGCTTGCAGATTCGAGCCTGGCCCAGGCCTGCTAAACAATGACAATTGCAACAAAAAAATAGCTGGACGTTGTGGCAGGTGCCTGTGGTCCCAGCTACTTGGCAGGCTAAGGCAAGAGAATTGCTTAAGCCCAAGAGTTGGAGGTTGTTGTGAGTTGTGATGCCATGGCACTCTATCAAGGGCAACATAGTGAGACTCTGTCTCAAAAAAAAAAAAAAAAAAAAAAAACATAGCTAAGGCGCCAGCCACATACACCTAAGGTGGCGGGTTCAAATCCAGCCTGGGCCCACAAAGCAACAATGATGGCTGCAATCAAAAAAAATAGCCAGGCATTGTGGTGGGTGCCTGTGGTCCCAGTTACTTGGGAAGCAGAGGCAGGAGACTCTCTTGAGCCCAGGACTTGGAGGTTGCTGTGAGTTGTGATGCCATGGCACTCTACCCAGGGAGACAGCTTGAGGCTCTATCTCAAAAAAAATGTAACTGTGACAGACTTACCTCCTTTATTCCCTACAAACTACAAAGCAGGTCCTGTTTGTGCCATTATGCAAATAAGAACCATGATAAGCTACCATGTCCTGAAAACACGTATTAAGTGCTCTTCACAGGCATACATCTTCAGTACTTCCTTGTCAATGTCCACGCTTCAGTACCATCCTTTACCAGGTGTGGCTATGTGTGGTGCATACCCTGAAGTCATGTGCACAGACTTATACTCTCAGAGAACAGGGAAGCACTTTGGACAGTCAGACATGTGTGAAAATACTTTTCTTACATAGACCCATTTCCTCTATTTTTTTTTTTAAATTTATGTTTATGTAGGCTGACCAGGTGGCTTATGCCTGTAATCGCAGCACTTGGGAGGTAAAGGTGGGAAGATCCTTTGAACTTAGGAGTTTAAGAGCAGCCTAAGCAAGAGCAAGACCCTATCTCTATAAAAAATAGAATAATTAGTGGGGTGTGATGGCGGGCTTCTTAATCCCAGCTACTCAGGAGACTGAGGCAGGAGGATCACTTAAGCCCAAGAGTTTGAGGCTGCTGTGAGCTATGATGGTGCCACTGCATTCCAATCCAGGTGATAGAGTGAGAGTTTGCTTCAAAAAAAAAAAAAAAAGAAAGAAAGAAAGAAAATTTGCTTGTAGTGGGATTTTTATATGTACTTGGGCAAGTTGATTCTTCATTCATTCCAAAGATAACAGTACATGCCTGCTTGGTACAAGGACTGCCACAGTGAGCAATGTGGTCAAAGTCCCTGCTCACCTGAGTTAGTATTCTGTGGGAGTCAGGCCATCATGCAGAGCAAGGTCTGTCAGACATCATTTTAAATGTTGGCAGGAAGGAATCAAGGTAGAACAGTGAGTAGTTGGTTAGGAAGAGCCTTTGTGAGGAGTTGGCATTTGAGCTAAGGCCTGAATTACAAGGAAGTCAGTCATGCAAAGAACAAAAATAGCAAATGCAGAGGTCCTGAATTTAGCTGAGGGACAGAAAAGTCAGTGTGGCTGAAGCCAGGTGATAAGGAACAAAGTGGTGTAGGTCAGGGCAGAGGAAGTATGGGTGGGGGGTAGAGGGATGGGTGGGGTGGAGGTATAGGATGGGTTGTAGGAAAGAGGAATGGGTTGAGAGGTGTAGGACAAGGTGGAGGGATGGGTGGGGAGGTGGAAGGTGGGTTTGAGGCAGAGAGGTGGGTTGGGGGTTGTGGGGTAGAGGGTGGGGTAGAAGGATGGGTGGGTTATGGGGCACAGGACTGGGTTTGGGGGGTGGAGGGTAGGGTGGACTAATAGGTGGAGAGGTGGATGGTGGGTTGCAGGACAGATAGGTTGGAGGTGGAGGGTAGGGCAGGAGAATTGGTAGGGAGTTGTAGAGTATCAGGGAGGGATAGGTGGAGAAGTGAGATGGGGGTGGTACTGAAGTTGGCCTTTGTGGTCAAGGTTAGATTTGATCCGGAATGAACTGAGAAGCCTTCAGAAGGTTCGTGCAGGGGAGAGGTGCCATGAAATTTAAGAGTTCTTTTTTGTTGTTTGTTTGTTTGTTTGTTTTTAAATAGGCAGGAACCATTAAAACATCAGTTACTGGGACAAGCATACCCACAGGTAAGATGAAGACAGAAATAAATATTGAGGCTCGGTGCCTGTAGTTCAAGGGGCTAAGACGCCAGCCACATACACCAGAGCTGGCAGGTTCAAATCCAGCCTGGGCATGCCAAACAATGACAACTACAACTGAAAAATAGCCGGGATTTGTGGCGGGCACCTATAGTCCCAGCTACTCAGGAGGCTGAGGCAAGAGAATTGCTTAAGCCCAGGAGTTGGAGGTTGCTGTGAGCTGTGATGCCGCGGCACTCTACCTAGGGCGATAGCTTGAGACTCTGTCTCAAAAGAAAAAGAGAGAAAGAAATATTGAAATAAGAAATTAATTTTTACTTGTTCTCTTGCCTTACTCAGTGTCTGTCTTTGTAGGCACTGTGAGTGGAAATGTGATTGTGAACACCATAGCGGGCGTCCCAGCCGCCACCTTCCAGTCTATTAACAAGCGTCTTGCTTCACCGGTGGCTCCTGGGTCCTTGACTGTGAGTTATCCCTTCACCCAGGGTAGCACACCAGGACTTCGTATCTGGAGAGATTATTATTTCTTTTAAATATTCCATCAGCGGCTTAGCGCCTGTGGCTCAAGTGGCTAAGGCTCCAGCCACATACACCTAAGGTGGCGGGTTCGAATCCTCAGCCTGGGCCCGCCAAACAACAATGACGGCAGCAACCAAAAAATAGCTGGGCGTTGTGGCGGGTGCCTGTGGTCCCAGCTACTTGGGAGGCTGAGGCAGGAGACTCGCTTGAGCCCAGGAGTTGGAGGTTGCTGTGAGCTGAGATGCCACGGCACTCTACCCAGGAGGGACAGCTTGAGGCTCCTGTCTCAAAAAAAAAAAAAAAATTATTCCATCAGCGAAAAAAGTACTAATCTTGTTTGGATTTGGCAAAATAAATAGCTAATCATTATTGTAGTTTCAGAAATATTTAGGTTTCTACATAGTTTAGGGCAGCAGTTCTCAACCTGTGGGTCTTGACCCCTTTGGACTGTGTGAAAGGTTTGCAGCATTAGGAAAGTTGAGAACCACTGGTTTAGGGGATGGGTTCTGTTTAGTACTTTGAAGTAATGAAAATATGAGCTTCGTGTGTGGGTGTGGATGTGTGTTGAAAATCTCTCCTCACAGAATGATTTCCATAGAGGAGGTAGGTGGGGTATAAGGATAAGTCTTTGATTCTGATGACAAAGGTGTTCACGTGCATGTCACTCTGTCCACATGTGGAAGCAGAGAGGAGATGATTGCCCTTTGGGGGGCACAATGTCACATGAGGGTATGGCTTGGTTTCATGTTGCTGGAGCGTGTGTTAGGACCAGATGGGGCACAGGAGAGGAAGTGGTTATTGCAGGAATGTCGGGACCCTTGTGTGGAGTGTGGTAGGGCACTTGGGCAGAGGGAAAGAGGCAGAGCTGTGAAACCCTAAGCAGGAACTTAGGGGATGTGTTCCAGTGTCAAGCCACTGTTTCTCTTTGATATTTCCATCAAAATAAGACTGAGAATAAGGAGTTTAAATGTATATCCTGTTTTCCATTTAGTCAGAGTCCTAAAGGCAGCATGTACCCTGAGTGAGAAGAGGCTATGCATCAAAGTCACTTTGGCAAGTAGAAGGATGTCTCCTGGGATCTGAAAAGTATCTTTCCTATGAAGATGGTGTTGCTGCAGTAATCTGGACACTGTTGCAGTTAGATGTGTAGGTGAATGGAATTGGTTAAGGAGTCCAGAAGTAGATTGACATACATATACATGTGTATTTGTTAAAAAATGGCATGGGAATTCAGTAAAGTAAGGATAGTTTTTCCAATAGATGGTACTGTGACTATGCAAAACAGTGAACCTAGACCCATAACTTTTTTTTTTTTTTTTTTTTG